TGCCAGCCTCAGTCTATCAGTTACACCTCTGTTTTCAAAGCAAACACATTATAGATTTGCATTACATATAGAGTGATTATTTCCTTAAATATCTCTGTGATTACATCATCTCAGCTCTGGTATTCCACTCACAAGTAAATATCATATTGGATATTTCATACTGGAAAAAAACATTTTACTAGGACAGTGGTGAAGCACTGGAATGGGTCACCTAAGGAGAGAGTGAAATCTCCATCCTTAGAGGTTTTTGTGGCCAGACGTAACAAAACCATGGCTGGATTGATTTACTTGGGGTTGGTCCTGCTTTGTGCAGGGGGTTGAACTAGATGACCCCCTTCATCTTCTATGAGTCTATGAAATAATTTACTTTCCTGGTGGTGTAAATTCCATGCAGAAAGAAATAATTACCTAGTATTTTGTGTAGCCTGGACATTGTTGAATATTTGCCACAGGGCTCTTGTAGGGTATGTCTATACTTGCCCCCTAGTTTGAACTAGGGAGGCAAATGAAGCATACTGAAGTTGCTAATGAAGCACAGGATTTAAATATCCCACACTTGATTAGCATATTCGTGGCCGGTTGCCATTTTAAAAAGCCAGTAGCCCTAATTAACTTGCCATATGTCGACGCAGTAGTCCATTCCAAATCTCTTCCCTCAAATTAACTGTTACTCCTCAAGAAACAAGGAGTAACGGTAGTTTGGACTAGGAAGCCTACTCCAAACTACTTAGTCTGTGCCGTGTGTAGCCGTGCGGCACAGAGTCCGCACTAGCGGACATTTAAAAATGGCGGCGCCCAGCTTTATGCAAATGAAGCCCGGGAAATTCAAATCCCGGGCTTCATTTGCAACTCCGGTTGCCTACATTACCACTCTAGTTCGAACTAGGGTGGTAGTGTAGACATACCCTTAGAGCGAGCTGTTTATATTGATTGTCAGCTGATAAAAATGTACTAAAGTACTCTAGGTTGTCACCTGTGAGAGCTTGTGAGAACTTGCCAATGGCAATGACTTTTCAATAGAGCATTGTTAGGGGGTACGGCCCAGTCAAGGGGCTCAGCCCCCTCCTACCGGGCCTGTACAGTCCCCCAAAGTCCCAATGTAAAAGTTTAGGCCCTTTTATTAGGGCATATACAGTAACCACAGTCCCAATGCAAAAGTTTAGGCCGTTCTATCAGGGCATATACGGTAACCACAGCCCCAATGCAAAAGTTCAGGCCCTTTTATTAGGGCATATACAGTAACCACAGTCCCAATGCAAAAGTTTAGGCCGTTCTATCAGGGCATATACGGTAACCACAGCCCCAATGCAAAAGTTCAGGCCCTTTTATTAGGGCATATACGATACTAGAGGCCTAGCCGCTCTGAGAAGCCTTCCCTGGCCCAGGGTTTGCTTGTCCAGGGAAGGGAAAATGGGTGGTGGGGGACCCGGGCCCTCCCTCTCCACCGGGTCCCAGCCCAGGGCCCTTTAGGCAGGGTCTATGGCTCCTGCCGGCTCGGCGGGGGCTCTGACTTTGTACCCTTTGCCCTGGGCTGCTTCCTACCACGCCCTGGTTCCCCCCGGACGCCTTCGCCTCCGAGGCAGTACCTGTCAGGGTTGCGGGCGCGCTCCTGCCGCCCTGGGTCGGCGGCTGCTTCCTCCGTGTCAGGGTCCGGCGCGGGCGGCGACTCTGGTCCCAGCGGCTGCAAGAACACTGGCCCAGCCTGGTCTCCTCCTTCGCCCTGGGGCCTCCCCGACTGCCGGGCTCTTTCTGCCTTTATACCCAGCCGCTGTTGGGAGCATGCCCAGCAGGGTCGGAGGGGCAGGGCTTTCTCTGCCAGCTGGGCCTGGGCTATTTCCTGCTTATCAGTGCGGGGCCTGTTCGCCCCGTCACAAGCACCATTTATAAAAATGACTACACTTTATTACAGAATTGAACTGATGCCCAGAGTGCATCTATTTTTCTTCCAATGTGCATAGAAGTTATTTTACTTTACCCTTCAGTATAACTCTGACCATCTTTTTTTGAAAGAATAACCCATTCTCGTGCTCAGTTGGACAAATATCAACAAGGTTTTGTCATGTGGGTAATAATTTTCTCAGACAAATTTAGATAATTACTTTTTTGAACTAGGCCCAGCCATTCCTGATGCACCTAGTGGGTAACTTGTTTGACTCCACTTTGGTAAGGCACAAATGACACCATGACATTTGGCTCTCCAGCTGCATGCACTGGAAATTAACTGAATATTTAGAGAATATTAAATTAAATTCATTCTTGTATTAGATATAGAGTCTGCTTGTTTTACCTGATTATGATAAAATAGCCTTGTTTCAAAGCCAAAGCTTCAACAAACTCCTTGCCAGCTGTCTACACTGGCTGCTTGATTTTGCGCAAAAGCACTGACGTTCTACTGTCCAAAATCAGTGCTTCTTGTGCAAGTGCTTTGACGTTCCCGTTCAGGCAAAAGCCCTTTTCCGGAAATGGTTTTGCACAAGAGGACCAGCTAAAAACTGTTTTGCGCAAAAAAACCCCGATGGCGAAAATAGTGATTGGGGCTTTCTTGCGCAAAACCACGTCTAGATTGGCATGGACGCTTTTTCACAAAAAGTGCTTTTGCGGAAAAGCGTCCATGCCAATCTAGACACTCTTTTCCGCAAATGCTTTTAATGGAAAAACTTTTCTGTTAAAAGCATTTGCGGAAAATCATGCCAGTCTAGATGCAGCCTTTATGCTTTCCTAACAAAGATCCTGCAATTTCCTTATCATGTTTCACCATGACTTTCTGACCTTGTTCCCAAATATTCACTGAATCACATTCAGTAAGCACATTGGAATATTCAAATGTTATATTTTTAAAATCTCCAGTGTATTTTTTTAAGCTAGGAGAAACCTTTCTAGATAAAAAGGTCATATTGGATCAGATCAATAATGCATCTAGCCCAGTATCCTGGCCAGATGCTTCAGAGGGAATGAACAAATCAGGCTTTGAGTAATCTACTCCCAGTCCCATCTCCTGACAATTGGAGGTTTAGGATTGTGTCCCTGACCATTTTGTCTAATAGCTATTTATTATATAATATATTTCTGGCACTTTATTTTCTGCCATAGAGCTCCCTTAGCTTGTGGAGACCTCCTGATCCCACTTCATAAATCCATCATCCTCTCCTCATTCAGATCTCTTCTAATGACTCACTTTCCCTGTGGCATCCACAAGCTGTGGGATGATGATATATACAACATTACTGCTAATAATACAATGAAAACTTACACTACATTTTTCTATGAATTTTCCATTGTGCCCTCTCCTCCTTGTTTCTCTTTCACGTGTAAACTCTTCTGAGCAGAGACTTTATATAGTTTGCATTTAACACTGTCAAGGCTGTTCCCCACTCTGGCATGACGAATGCAGAAGTTGGGGCCTGCAAGAGCACTCCAAAACATTGCCTCTACAGGCTCTGGTACAAAAACTTCTCCCACCCCCAAAAAATCCTAATATCCAGATTTTGGGGAATCCACTGCCACCACCCAAGTAATTCCAAGAAAACCAGGGAAGAGACCACTTAGGAAATCTCCTCCCTAAGGTAAAACTCTCCCCCTACCCCAGCCTCCATTTTGCTTGGAGTTGAGAAAAACAGAGGAGATTCACAGACAACAAAGGATTCTGTCCTTGTAACTAGGTGCTGCGTCCGAAGTACACGACAATCAATCAATCCTGGTTAATTAGAAAAGAAAATAATCCTTTCTTATCAAAACAAAACTACAGTTGCAGGCATAGTAAAGTGGCTAGATGGAAAGAGCCACCAGTTGATAAATGTACTCAGGGAAACCTCTGGGCTAAAACTCAGTTACAAAGGGAAAAAAACACTTAACAAGCTCAGACATTATTTCCAAATCCTCAAACAAGGAAAACAACAAATCCTGATGGACTAGCTAAACTTTTCCCTACTTACACATTTTAAGAAGTCCGTTCTCCCATCTCCCATCTCCCTCAGTCTTGAAAGAAACTGCTCTAACTCTCAAACACAGATGAGAGGGAGAAAAAACCCTCTCTTCCAGTTTGAAATTCCTACCTGGATTGTTATTGGCTGACAACCCAATACTTGCTAGGTACAGAGTTAACCCCTTATGTACCAGGTGCTGTTCAGCACTCCTGGTTAGGACAAACTCAGTACTGAAGGCACCATACACTCTAAGGACCTATAGATCCAGTGCCCATTGAAGTTAATGGAAAAGCTCCTGTTCACTTAGCAGGCATTGGATTGGGCCCTAATCAAATAAACCATAATAGTTGTTAAGTGGACTATTAAGCAGACTTATGGCTGCTTTGTGTCACTGACATGTTGCAGAGGAACCAGAATGTACAAATGACACAGCTAAAATGGTCAGGAAATCAGGTGCTTTAAAAATGACCATATCACTATTTTCTATTAATCTCATTCACCTTATTTTTAAATGTTCAGTAGTTGTATGTAAAAAAAAGACACCAAACTATTTAAGTCCCCCTTCATCTCACTGGCACCTTTTAAACACGCCATCTTTCTACCCATCCATGGAATCTCCTCCCATTCTGGGATTCTAATTAATTATTGTTAATTTGGACTACATTAATGCCTACAGGCCCCTGATCATCATTTTACAAATAGAGTACAGATATCTCTACATGGTCTTTAATCCATGCTAGATGGGTGTAAACTGTAGTGCTCACTAGTGTTGCACACTGACTGTCCAGTGTGGAGCCTGTTGGAATGTGCTATAAATGTCTAGTACACATCAATATAACCCTGGTTCAAACAGTACTGCTAGGCAACTTTTAGAGCATGCCAGTGAGGCCAGTGATAACATAACTCTCTATGCACCCTAGAATTTATACACCAAAATCACTGTATAGACAAGCCCCAAGAGATGGTGTCTCCCCCAAAGGGCTATAATCTAAATTGACAAGAAAGTCAAAGGATTGTGGAGCAGAAATGTAACATGCCATGAGAGTGAACAATGTGATGGTTTCCAAATACTATTACCTCCAAAGGTTTTATTTTGCTTCTTCCCTGAGCACTTTTATTGTGAATGAGGTGTTATTGGGAGGGTAATAGATGTCCAGAAACACTAAAGAAGAGGACTGCACATTGAAGGGAAGGTATTAAGAGAAAAAGGAGGATGTAGATATATTTCCAAGGATCTTTTTATCTCTTTGCCAATGATCTGAAAAATATATAAAATCAGTATTGGTCAGGTTTGTAGCTCTTCTACAAATTGGTAGAGTGGTACATAATGATGGGTAGGGTCAATTATCAAAACCTATCATTGTCACTTGATAGGGTGGGTTCATTTGAACAACAAACAATTTTAACATGGCAAAATGCACAATCTTGCATCTAGAAGAAAAGAGTGTAAGTCATATTTATATCATAGATATCATATCCAAGAAAGAAGTGACTCTGAAAAAGATTCAGGAGGATCAACATGGAGTTGGTGGATCCTCTATCATTTGCAGCTTTTAAGTCAAGGATGGATATCTTCATTTGTATCTTTCATAGTACAAACAAAAGTTATGGGTTTGATGCAGATATTGTGTGAGATTCCGTAACCTGTGTTATGTAGGAGATCAGACTTAATCCTAGTACTCTCGTCTGTCCTTAATCATAGTAATTACTTGATCCTAGTAATTTTCTGACCTTAAAATCTATGAAGTGGTATACAGTTATCCAGTTCAGTTCTACATGATCTAGCATTCCCGAAGGCATAAACTATATTCAGAATCACATAAGCAACTACCATGGCAGCTTTATCTGACCTATTTAATATCTATCTGAAGTATTTAATATCTAATCTTTCTATGGGGCGAGGGATGAAGGGTACAGAAGGGAGCTACAGGTTTGGGGAGGTAGGGCTGAGACAGAGGTTTGGGTCTCAGAGTTGGGATGCAGACATACCTTAGGAAGCTCTGGTCAGCGACACAGCGAGGCTAGGCAGAATAGTCCACACCTTTCCTGGCCAGTTCTTCACTAGGTCCCAGAAGCAGCCAGCAGTTTTGGCTCCTAGGCACAGAAAGGGAAAGGTCAGGTGGCACCACATGCTGCTGTCACCCACAGGCACAACCCCAAAACTCCTACCACCAGTCAGTGTTCAAAGCCAGGGGCAGTGCCCCTTCACCCTCCTAGGAGCTGGACCTGCTGGACACGTCTTCAGCACAGTGTAGTGCCAGACTGGTGGGGACTTTTCTGCCTTAGCCCCACAGCACTGCTGACAAAGACATAACAGCCCACTCAGAAGTGCTGACCAGAGCGTCCAGGTCCCTTTTTGTCGTGTCGAGATGTTCTAATCAATAACCTAATACTTGGCCACATTAGTTCCATCAGAGTCTTTGTTAGCATTCAAGTAAGCTGGTGCATCAAAATCTTGCATGTCCTGCCAGTTCTGTGGCTAGTTAGACTCTATATTGTACTGTTTGCCTCTGACTAGAAAAGACTCAGAGCATGCCTCATCATGACAAATCTCTTGACCTGTGATAATATTATTCCATTAAAATTCCTTTTCAGTTCTTATTTGTAACTGCAATTATTGTTCTTTTTATCTCTGTTTTCTTAAATGCTACTTAGACTGCTCTTGATTTTCTTTTGTTCCAGAATGTACTTACCGAATTACAGGACTTGTCAGATAATCCCCACTTTTACTTTGTTCTTCTGAATCCTTGATTAATAAATAATTATCTTATTTGCTATGCCTTTACATTTATATTATAGTGCTCTCATTATTAGTCTGCTTTGAAATCCTTTTGTGTTTTTCAATGTGTTTACCACCACACTTTTTGTTTTTGCTCCCCTTGAAATCTAGCTACTCTATGTGGACCTCATTTAATATCACAGACATTATCATAGATACAGAACAGGTCTTCAGAAAAATAACTAATATGATCGGGGTGGAAAAGTAAGATGGTTGTCAGATGAGGCGAAGGACCAAATTCCTCTTTGTAGCATCCAATTCCATCACATTGGTAATTTTATTAGTGAAACTGAGTAGTATTGGAGAAATTTATTGTGGTCAATATTTTAAGGGGATTGTCACGGATCAATTCCCCAACCTGACATGCTGAATGTAGAGATGGGGGCCAGCTAAAAAAATAACCTCTGTAAGAACATGCCTCTGTAACTTCCCAGAAACAAACTTGTCTGGTCTCAGTCTCCTTGGGTATGTCTACACTACAGCGCTAATTCGACCTAACTTAGTTCGAATTAGTTAATTCGAACTAAGCTAATTCGAATTAGCGCAGCTAGACTTAAAAACTAGTTTGAATTAGCATTTTGCTAATTCGAACTAGCATGTCCACACAGAGTGGACCCTGAACAGAGGTTAAGGATGGCCAGAAGCAGTGCCGGCAGGGCATCAGATGAGGACTTAGAGCGTGGAGCTGCTGTCTCAGGCTAGCCGAGGGCTGTGCTTAAAGGGACCCGACCCCTACCCCGGACAGACAGTTCTCAGGGTTCCCCTAAGGAGCTCCAGGAGAGCTCCCACCCCCAGAAGCCCTCAGAGCCAGCCCAGTCCTCCCCATCGGGGGCACGTACCCCATTCCTCCCTCACCTGCTTCCACTTACCCTTCCCTAGCCCCCCTTCCTGATGTACAAAATAAAAAAAAATTGTGTACAAAAATAGAGTCTCTCTTTATTGAACAAAACTGGGGGAGACTGGGAAAAAGAGGTGGGAGAGGGGAAGAGAGAGGCTGGGAGAGGGGAGGGCAACTAAAATGATCAGGGGTTTGGAACAAGTCCCATATGAAGAGAGGCTAAAGAGACTGGGACTTTTCAGCTTAGAGAAGAGGAAATGGAGGGGGGATATGATAGAGGTCT